TTTTCAGATCCTCAGAGAGTTCTTTGCCATGAGGTGCCATGTTGAACATCCAGTGACCAGTATGAGAGATTGAGAGCGATAACACCAAATTTAACACACCTGCTCCCCATTCACACCTGAGACCTTGTAACACTAACGAGTCACATGACACCGGGGAGGGAAAATGGCTAATAATGCCCAATTTGGACAGTTTCACTTAGGGGTGTACTCACTTTTGTTGCCAGCGGTTTAGACATTAATGGCTGTGTGTTGAGTTATTTTGAGGGGACAGCAAATTTACACTGTTATACAAGCTGTATACTCACTACTTTTCATTGTAGCAAAGTGACATTTCTTCAGGGTTGTCACATGAAGAGATATAATATTTACAAAATGTGAGGGGTGTACTCACTTCTGTGACATACTGTAATAACCCTGGCATAGGCACACAGCTTTTGCCACATGAATAGCAGGAGCTGTAAATTTAAGGCTGTGTAAGATCCTTACGGGGATTGTGAGAGAGTTCTTGGACAAGACCAGTTACCTTTCAGCGTGGATTTTGAGTGGCCATCCTGCAAGATGCTGGGCATGACAGGCTGATGGGCAAACCACTTATGCAACAATTGAACTAATAGAGCTTCCCATGCTTGTTACACTCAAGTGCCTAAAAAGGCATGCATATACATGCTGCATGAATTCAGGACAGGTGATACAGGGTTTTCTCAAGTTTCTGTTTAAATATTTGGCAATGGTGCAATCCGCCCAAGGATGAAATTGATTTTTAAATGGGCCATCTCCCATGGTATTTACTGGATCTGCACTTAGCTTGTCAACAATATGTGTAAATTATTTTTTTTCCATGAATGACTGCTTGTTATTACTTCCTCAAGCCGTTTTAAGGCCGGTGAATCATCAATCTCCTCTGTTACAATCAAAAGTTGATTAGACAATTTATTTCCTTTTTTGCAGCATCAGGCAATTGGATTCTGATCTGTTAGTGACCAAACATGCTCCGAACTTGTTGAGGTGATGGAGTGGATTTTCATATTTGCTTATCAGCTTGAAAGCATGTTCTCTTTCTCCTTAGTAGAGATAAACAGTCAAGTAACTAGACAATAAGTGATCAATTGTGTGCCCATGATTTATAGAACATGATTTATGGAAATGATATGCCCACTTTGCAGTCATTTTATACATAAGCCAGTGTGCACTGTTAAATGTGCACTTCAATTTTGTTTTTAGGTAGTCATGTGAAAAAAATGCAAACCTGGAAATCGTCCATTTACAAAAGCAGAGAAACTAACATCTTCAGTGGTTCCCTGCATTGCCCAAGTCACTCCAGGAGTGGAGAAACTTGACTTAGTTTATGTGAATATTTGAAAGGTTTTTAAATGTGTATTGTGAGATCTCAACTGCATGCTCAGTCTGGAGAAGCAGCAGCTTGGGGGATGGTTGCCATACATCAACTTCCAACATTTATTTTTTTAACTATGTGGTTAGTTCATCCTCACATTCTAAACATCTAAAGGTGAAAAAAATCTTTTTTTTTCTGAAAAAGCGAAAGTTCATTAGCAGTGGTAAATTATCCATCAGTAAGCAAAATATTCCAGAACTCGCTAGCAAAATTAATGCTACTTCATTTTACCCTGGTCAACCTTCTTAGGAAGTCTTGCATTTAGGTTTGGGGCGTTATGCCTTCAAAAGCTTAGGTATGTTGAAGGAAGTTTGGAAGTGAGCAAAAGAAATGCAGAATGCATAGCGTTTGCCTGAACTTGATGTCTTCCAGATGTGTTGGACTGCAACCTCCATCATCCCTAACCAGTGACCCTGCTGACTGAGAAAGGGAGTCGCCATCTAAAACATCTGGAGCACAGCCAGTTCTGGGAAGCTGACCTAAGCCTTTTGTGGCATCCCAAGGCCTACTGTGTTTAGATGGCGCTTGATTCCGTCCTCCCTGCTTGTATTGCTACGCATCAAGTTAGCATGCTGAGGTGCAGGCCTGCAGCTGGATGGACGACCATCACATGTGAAAGCAGAGCAGAAGGTTGGACTCAATGTCCTTCTAGGCCCCTTCCAATTCTACAGCCCTTTTAACACGTGTGTGTGCGAGAGCGGGAGCGAAAGAGCGAGCTGCAATATCACCTTCAAACGCAAGAGGGTACTCCGTGCATACGATTACACGGCAAGGGATTGTTGTGTGTACAGGCCGCAGGAAATGTAAAGCGCTGTTTCTTAAACTTGCCAGAGTACCCCCACCCCCGCCCGTGTTTCCTGAACCCGTGCTGAACACAATATAGGAAGCAGTTGAATAATCACATGCCGAAAAGACAAACTACGGTACTTTTAAAAACCAAAC